ACGTTTTATTTTGAGACAAAAAGACTCCTCTATGAAAAAAAATTATTAGTTAATAAATGATAAACGCTCTAAAATGGGACAAATCTTTTGTCCTAAAATGAAATATTAAAGCTAAAATGCTCCCAATAAAAAAATAAGGATCAAAATGACCATTTAGTCAAATAATATGAGCCTTTTCGCCTTATAATGAAAGATTGGGTCAAAATATTCCAAAAAAAAATGGACCAAAGTGACTATTTAATCAATTAAGGACATTTTTTTACATTATGCTTTATTTAATTAATTAAGAATTGATTATTATAAGAAAACTGAATAATACATTGGACAGCTTTTATGTATGCTTGCTTGCTGGGTAGAAGATTCAAATGGAATCTATTTTAAGAAGCATCTTGCTAGATATGTTGACTATTTGTGGGTTGCAGAAGATGAAATCAAGATGCAGGTTTGTTGATTATATAACACTGAAATTTAGTTAATCTTTCATTAAAATATCAAGACTTCAATTGTTCATTATTATCTCAGCAAACTAGTATGTATATTTTCAATATTTCACCATGCGGCGCATTAAAAGTCAAGTATGGGATGTTAGTTTCTTTCTCCAAGCTTTGCTTGCTATCAGTTTATCCCATGAAATCGGACCTACTCTAAGCTAAGAAGAGCATTGATTTCGATCTATGAATCACAGAAAATATATTAAATTATTGCATAATTAATTGAGTAGTCTCAGTCGTAACCAGTTTTCGTCCGGACACGAATTTTTTACTTGGCGAGAAAAGTGATGTTAATAATAAATAATTTGGGAGTCGCCATCGGTCTTTTGGGTTAGGTAGGTCGAATACCTAAAAATTATCTTTTAAAAGAGTTTTTAAGAAAACATCAGTTAAAAGATGAACTAATCCGCGTTTATAACCAAAAATTCGTTCTTTTTATTAATAAAAAGGGGTTCGTGGTCGGTTACGTTTAGGGAAGGATTAGCACCCCTACAACGCCCAATTGGTACTCTTTAATTATAAATTGTCTCTAATAATATAATTTTAAGAATTCAAATATATTTAATTTATAATTATGTTATTTCAAATTTTATTACTATAATTTTTAAGAAAATATATTAATTTAAATATATTTATAAAAATATTTATTTATTTAGAAATATCAGAAAAAGACTTCTAGGTGCCTTAAGACAGCTCTTTTCTTTGATATAAAAAAATAAATAAATATTGATAAAATATTTATTTAAAAATAATAAAAATTAGATTAATATATATAATTGATAAAAGTAAAATATTTATTTAAAAATATCAGAAAATGGACATCCAGTTGCTTTAAGACTGCCCTTTCTTAATTTAAAAATAATAATTCTTTTTTACAATATGTGTTTTCTGATTTTTATAAATAAGATATTTATTTATTTTTAACATATCAGAATATGTCATCTAGTTGCTTTAAGACTGCCCTTTTCTTTGATATTAAAAATAAATATTATTATTTAAACCAATATATATATATATATAATAAATATAATAATGAAATTAATAATTTACATATATATTAAAAGTAATAAAATAATATTGAAAATAAATAAATGGAGAAAAAAAATACCATAGTATTAAAATATAAATTATATAAATTAATGAAGATAACTTGAAATATAATTAATAATAATAATTTAACCTATATAATTATTAATCAATGATTAAAATATCAATTATTAAAATTAAGAAATCCAATTCGAAATATTATAAAACATAAATATTAACAATGTAATTTAACCTATATAATTATACAGGATTAAAATAAATATTAATTAAATAATAAGGGACTAAATCGGTTATTTTCCCTAAAGTATGTAATTATACTGGAAAGGACTAAAACATAATATATTAAAATTTGAATACCAAATTAAAATAAATAAAAATAACTTGTAGTGACTATTTTGTAAAGATTACAAAATTAAAGGGGTTGCGGAAAGGGTTTTACTATTATGAAATTACACAGATACCCCTCCCCAAAACGGCGTCGTTTGGGAAGGGGTATAAATACCCTAAATGCCTGGCTCGAAGGGCCAAGCTTCCTCATTTCTGCTTTCCTCTTCTCTCTCTTAAACTGAGAGAGAGATTTCTCTCTCGCCTCTCTCTAGGTTCCTCCAATCGGAGGAAGGTCGACAATCGTCTACCGTCGCTAACTCTACCGTCGGCCACCGCCTTCGGTGGCCGAATTTTTTTTTTTTACACTAAAATACAGCCCTAATTTCCCCAAAGTCGAGTCCGACCTTTGTTTCCCCAAAAAGACTCCTAGTCGGAGTAGATCTATGAAAATACCTTCGGTATTTTCTGTTCTCCGGTGATGTTTAGTGCTTCCGGCGATGGTCAAGGCTCCAAGGGTAAGTTTCTTTCTTCTTTCTTTGTTTTATGTTTTGGTTGACTTCTTGTAGTGGGTTCTCTTTCTTTGTGCGTTGCCGTCGTTGTTGTGTTTTTTTTTGTAGGTGGTCGATGGCTTTTATAGCCATCGACGGTGTATCTCTCGAACCGGTCTCAAATGGTGACCCTAGGTGAGTCACCGGACTATGGTGGTGACTCACCATAGGGTTTCAACGTGGGGCAGAAACGAGGTGCTTCTGGAGGCTTTGGTTGAAGGTGGCTTCGTGGAGGCGTGGCAGCTGGCTGAGACGTCGACGTGGGGCGGCTGGAGGCAGAGGTGGCGCCGCGTGGTCCCTAGGGTATCATAACCCTAGGATTTCTTGTTGGAGAGCTTTGGACCGTTGGATCTGGCCAGATCCAACGACTGAGATTGAGGCGGCTGGGATGAAGATGCAAGAAACCCTAGAGTTTAGGGTTACTGTTGGGTCTCCACTTGGGCTTGAACTGGGCTTCAGGATCTGGGCCTTTTTTGTTGGGCTTCTGATGTAATTTGTAATATATATATATATATATAATAATAATAAATAATAATAATAATATTATATTAATAATAATATTTATAATAATAATAATAATTTTAATAATAATAAACGAAAAATTAGTGTTTACAGTCTCAATAGTAAAAGAAAAATGTTATTTTCTATAGAGGTTTCGAGTTTAAGTAGTTAAGTCTAAAAGGTTTATGTGCATTGTCAATAAATTCAAAAAATGTAATAGATATTATCTTATAATCACTTCACACTAATTAAAAAGATTACTACATAGTAAAAATAGCGGTTATTCAACTTGGGAGCTAGCATGAGGTAGTTTTTGGTGGGAGGTAATATCCATATCCAAATGTGTGTACTAATTTTGGTATACATAATCTGCTGGGTAAAATTGTTTCACTAAGGGTGCGTTTGGTTCACGGAATGAAAGATTACCAGTGGGAATATAATATTATCAGGGAATAGGATTACTTGGAATGTTGTATTTTGTGTTTGGTTGGCTTAGCAGGAATGTAAGATTACCGTGTTTGGTTAAAAGAATAAAAGATTATTGGAATGTATATTTGACCAAATTGTCCTTATTATATATTTTGTTTTTTTAACAAGTTAGAAAATATTTATATATTTTCTTTAAAAAATTTAAATTCATAAAATTTATATAATTTTTTTTTTACAAAATTGAAAATATAAAAAGGTTTAATGAAAGGGTAAAATTTTATTTTAACCCCTGAACTTTATATAAAATTTTAATTATAGACTTTTTTGTAAATCTAAAATAGTTTAAGGATAAATTTGTAATTTAATATTCGTAGAATTTTTATTATTCAATGACAGAAAAAATATATTTAAAAAAAATTAAAGGCATTTTAGTCCAAAACGCCGGGAATCCAACAATACCTAAGTAAATAGAAGTAACGACATTCACAGTAATATACCCCAAAAAATTCATTATTAGTAATCTTACATTAATTAATTTCATCAACTATTGAATGTATGAATAACTTTTATTATTCAAGTTTTTTTGAGAACGTAATCGTAAAACATGAGTAAGACACTTATCGTTTCTTTAATTAGTTTCATTAACTATTGAATGCATGAATAACTTTTATTTTTGTTAAAATCCAAGTACGTAGAGTGAACATAATCTGCAATGCAGACACTAGATCTTGTCATGAAACTATGCCCAGAACATAGAACAAAAGAGATTGACGATAACATCAAAAAAGCTACAAAATTCATCATTTTTGGTTAAAAATTGACAGTCATCTGAGCTACACGTTAACCTACTAGTTGAGATATAATAAAATCATATTTTTATGATGTCCATTGGAATCGTCATTGCTTTCAAGCATTGATTCGACAATATAATGTTTCAAGCATTGACTCGATGACATAATGTAAAAAGAGAGTTGATCCACAAATTACAACTCAAACGGTTTTGGGAGTAGGTTTTATCATATCACAGTTAACAGGTTAATGTCTAACTCAGACGACCGTCAATTTTTAACAGAAAATTACGAGTCTGAAATATATGAGTTATCGAGTGATCGTTTTCTAACTTTTAATAGTCTATGACTCAACAAAATAATACCCTATAGTCGGGAGACCACTTTATAACTTTTAATAATGGGAGGACTCAACAAGCAATCTCTTATAATCGAAGACTATTTATATACTTTACCCTATTACATATTACATAATTTCACATTTTTTTTTATTTTATACATGTATAATTTGAGCTTCATTATATTTATTGAATATCTGTTGATTTAAGGTATCTATACATATAGAAGGAAAAGAATCGAATTTGGTAAATACTGCACAGACTTTGATGGGTATACTTAACAAGGATGAATTAAGGGGTTGACAAAAACAGTAGCTCACTGAAAATTTAAATTTTTTATATAATTTAAAAAATTATATTTTCTATTAACAATACGTTTTTGTCTCCCAATAATTTTATAAGTTCACTCTCTTTAATATAAAATCATGCATACTACATGATTAGTGTATACACTCATGAGATGAAAAATTGCATAAACATGGTACGTTACACCATGCATCATACAGGAATGTTATATGATACAAGAAGTATTCTTAATCCATTCTATATACCCCTCGATTAAATTATGATTAATCAAAATTTGGATCATATTGAAACACTGTTTGGAACTCCCCTGCATGTTACACCAGGCTCTGAGCTAGGTGCAAGCAGCTCATATGGCAACACCCCAGCTCCACACCGGTTCTTCAGCCTGCGATCACCGTTCCTTTTCTCTATCTCCTTTTCAACCTGTCCGATCTCCACTGAGAACCTGTAAAATGCTTCAATTATCTCCGCATCGCCCGACCACGTTGATGGCTGCTGCCGTTCCCCTAGGTATTCCTCGTCAGGAGAGTGTGTCGACAAGGTGTCCACCACGGCCATGAATTTCGTAGCTTGTAGTAAACTCGGCAACGCTGATAGGAAATATTTTTGTGGATCGGCTACGAAGTTAGCGTACTCAGGGACATTTTCTTCGGGTATTAATCTTCTCATTAGAGGTGGACGGTTCGGCACGTAACCACCGTAAGGGTACTGTCCGAAATTGAGTGCGGCATGTTGGGCCGATGCAAGCCAAATGATGGTGGTGAGGATGGAGACTAGATCATCGGGTGTGTTTAACGTTGGCCACCAGTCCTCGTTGCTGAGATCGGCGTGACCGACATGGACTGACTCACAGTACCAGCATTGTAGCTCATTATCATTGCGGATTAGACTTGAATCCGGATAGTAGCGGTTCACGTAGGTCCGAACCCAATTCTCGATCGCATTCCATATTAGTAACCCGTCGGAGGCATAAGGGTAGTCTTCTATTAGCAGCTTTAGGCCATGTGGACGTGTCGAGTCAGGTACTGCAATTCCCCTGCGGATTAGATCAGCAGGTAAGCCCTCCTTGTCGAAGCGCCAATGGCTCCGGTAAGCTGCAGCGCTTATCTCCATGCAGTAGCGACCGGGATTGAAGCAAGACTCGATAACCCCATCGGCACTGATCAAACTTTGCCGAGCCAGAGCATTGATCTCGAGTGTATACCTCATGTGTGGATCCAAGAGCTTGAAAATTGGGTGCATTGCACTCAACTGCCTATGTGCAGCCAGTATGAAAGGTTCCATGCATGCATGTGTCCGTAACCTGTTGCCACCAAACCAGCTCAATTAAATGAAAAGCGACATTATTGATGTCAAAAAAAGTTCAGCTTTACTTACCAGTGGTTAACCAGTTGGTGAACTCCAGCGTCATTAGAGCAAACATGAGCCTTTGCAAGCTGCCAGATCCAATTCGAAGTTGCATCGACCGGAGGCGTTACGACGCTCTTGGATCGGGAACACGGTGCGGTGTGTGGGAGGCTTAATTCAATGGCAATAGGCTTGAGAGTTCCGTTAGGAGTCAAGAAAAATATGGTACGAGTAGCATATGATTTCCGCCCATCGAGTGCATTGATCCGATCGAGAAATGGTAGGTAAAGGTCATGATAATCCACCATAAACAGCTTATTCTCTTCCAAAACCTAAAAAGATACTAATTAACATCATTTGCAACTTAGAAAAGATAGTCAAGAACACCATGATCTGATAAATTTACCTGTTGAACAGTCATGCCATTAAGCTGGCTCGCTATGTGCTCTTCTTTGAGTGCAGATTCCAGTGGACCATAGATCTCAGGATCCAGCTTGCTCACTGGAGGAAACACCGTCATCCGTTCGATGTTGACAGGGTTGACACCTGCCAACACCTGACGGGCGAATTCATCGTCCCGCAACCACGCAAACTTGTCCTCTGCATACGTGGATCACATGTAAAAAGCATACATATTTGATAGTGCACATTGCTGTCATGATGATGAAACAAGCATGTATGTACTCACTGGAAACAACTTTTGGAGTTTCGTATTTGAGTAATCCTTGGCTGGATTCCTGTATTTTGGTGACCACTTTTGGAAGTGGAAGGCTCTTCATTGCTTCATCCTGTAAGCCTAATTTGAGGAGGAGCCCTTCCTTGTAAAGGTCGTCGATGTCAGAAAACGAGTTTATGTCGCGGTTGTAGGCCGATATGCTGGCTTTTAGCTGCGGCAACAAGTTGTGAAGCACTGCTCTAAGCCTCCCCGCTGAGAAGTCGTTCTGCTTGGACTCCTCAAATTGTTCATCTCTAGGCACATACATCGGCATTGGCTTCTCCACTCTGCTCTCTGCTTGTATGTCTGCGATTTGTAAAATAAAATTTAAATTTTTATTCACAACGTCACAATTTGAGGAAAACAACAAGGAAAGGACGTGGGATTGATGGACCACCAACTTTTGTTTTTGTTCAAGGAATAGACCGTCACTAAATGGTGGTCCTTCCCATTCATAATTGATGAACCTAATCCAAGGTAATTCTATCAGAAGATAACATTTGTTGAAAACTAAAACAAGAGCGGTGCATATCTATGTATGATATTAATAGTATGCATGAGATTCGTTCTAGGCTCGTCTATGTATGTATACCTGTTTCGCTAGGAAGTCGTCCTGTTCGACATCGTCTTGGGTATGGAATTTCTTTACCTCCAAGTACAGGCCTAGCGTAATCAATTCCCCTGTCTGGATTTCCTAAATCATTGTATATATCGAAGTCGTAAACTCTGTCTGAAAGTTTTCTGACTCCCATGCCATTGCCCCTGATATCCCTCAGCTCCTTTTGTCTCAATCCCATAAGACCTTTGGGTGTCTCACTAGGTAGATAAGGCTGTCAGAAAAGGAAATGTTAGAAAATTTTGTAAAGTTCAGGTACCAATTGTGTAATAAAGCTATGGTTTTGAAGTGTTACCTGATTATTGAAGAAAATCCTTTTACCGGGGTGATCTCTGTTGGATTGAACCCATGAGTTACAAGGAAAATAAAGAGGACCGCATGCAAATCCTTCAACGGTGATGCTCTCCAGGAAGAATTCCTGCTGGTGTTTGTTTGTCACCGTGATTGCTCCCGGCAACCCGAAGTTGGAGTCCACCGTGAATTCCGCCGTGTAATGGACCCTCTCGGCTTTCACCTTTGCCTTCTTCGACCAGTCCTTCAACACTGCTCCTTTGCTTTTCTTTGCAGCCTTGGTTCCTGCAAAAAAGCCACGGTTTCACTTTTAATGGCGAGAAAAAAAACCCAGAAAATAGCAGCAAAAAGTGTAGAAGAAGTAGGAATTACTTGGATCTTCTTCGGTGCTGATGAGTTCCAAAACAACATTCCTTCCAATATTGTCGGTGAAAGCGTCCAAATGCTTCATTAAAGTCTCCTTGAAATCTTCCTTGTTCTTGTTCCTGACAGTTACGGCAGCTCGGACCTTAAACTGAACACTTTTGTCATTTTGGTCAGGCACAGCCCTGAACAGATTGTCACTAACGGCGGCCACCACAGGAACCTTGGCAGCTCTCCTCAAATGCACACTCCTTTGCTTCGATGGGAGCAAGACAGGGTTAACCAGGAACCGGTTCTGGTTCTGTCGGAACGGGAAAGAAGTTGTCTTGTTACTACTGTCGGATGATGATCTTTGAATCAAAGAAGAACCCATCATCTCTTTAGCCACTGACATAACTTCCCCTCTCTCTCTCTCTCTCTCTGTATCAAAGTGGTTTTTTTTTTTTTTTTTGAGTTTAAGCAGAGATTGATGATTTTTTTCCTGTTTGATCTTGAGTGAAGAAACGGCACTCTCTTATTTATAGGGTTTGTGTTTAAGACTTACCATTTCTAACCGCCCACACGTTTTTTTTTAGATTTGACCATGATTTTGATAATGCTGCAATATCATCCATGTTAATGGATTTTTTTTTCTTTTAAAAATATGAAATGATAATAAGTTAATATATGTTTAAAATACTTTTTAGTAATCAGTATATATATATATATATATATATATATATTAGGCACAGTTACATAAATTTAGATTCTCTAGAAAAAAAATAAAACTTCTTTTTACTTATAATATAAAAAGATATGATTTATATATGATATGGTGTCAAAATATATCACTATAGTTGATTAAATAGACACTTCGAGTCATATTTTTTTTTAATTTGACCTTCAATATTTTATTTTAGGAGCAAAAAGACTTATGTGGATGAAAATTGTTAGCTAATTAACACTTTAAAATGATGTATTTTTACCTTAAAATGAAACATTAAGGGTCAAAATGCTCAAAATAAGAGCCAAAGAAACTATTCAATCAAATATTATGAGTCTTTTTACTTTAAAATAAAATGTTAGAACCAAAATTCTCTAAAACAATGTGGACCAAAATGATCATTAATAAATGTTGTGAGTTAATTTTTATACTATGCCCTTATGTTATATAAGGTTTGATATTGTTGAAAAAAGTTAAATATCTAAAAGTTAATTTAAATGATGAGTTAATAATATCTTGAAAATATTATGTCATGTGTGAAAACTTTTTTTAAAAAAATATTTTTTTAAAAAGTATCCGCTTGAAAAGTATTTTTTATTTTTAAATTTATTTTTTAAACTTTGTTCTTTATTACTTTTATTTAAAAATAATTTTAAATCTAAAAACTAATAAAATATTAGCTTTAAAAGCGTTACTTTTTTAGATTTTATAATTTTCTTCTTTATAGCTTTTAGTACCCAAAATACTTTTAATCATAAAAAATAATTTGAAAAGTAATAAAGATTCAACATTAAGAGACTATGTTAACTTTTTTTATAAAAAAATATTCTGGTGTGAATTCAATATTATATAAGTTAGATATACATTATGAGAAATAATTAAATAAATAATGATATTTTGAGATTATTTTGAAAATTATGGTGTTTTTTTATAATTTCAGCATAGTTAATTTTCTTAATTTCATAATTGTAAAAATAAAAAATATATATATAGATAGTGAATTGTTTTGTATTTGAATAGAGGATTCTATAATTATTTTTCTTTAATCATATCTGGTAAACAATTAAATTTACGTGATAGACAAGAAATGTTTTTATTGCTCCAAACACATATTATTTGTTCATCAAGTAATAGTTTTAATAGAGTTTTGATTATTCAGTTTGATTGTTTGATAATTAATCAAGTAATATAAATTTTAACTTAAGATTAACTTAAGATAAATGTTAAAAATTTTGTACATATGTAAAAGGTTATAACTTTTTTTTTCTTGTATTAGAGCATTTTGGTCCTTCAATGTTTTTATTTTTGAGATAAAACGATGAAAACCGTTAACTAACAAACGATCAATATTAAAAATAAGGTGTTTTTTGCCCTAAAACGAAATGTTTGAGGCAAAATACTTCAAAAAACTAAGGATTAAAATGACTACTTAGTTAAATATTAATAACTTTTTTACCCTAAAATTAAGCATTGACCTTAAATTAGACTCATTTTAATGTTTTTTATTCTAGGAGTCGTCGGCTTCATTGTACATGTGTGGGGACCATAAATGGTAATAGATGCGCAGCCTGTTTTGTCGGAACATTTTTCACATTTTAATGCAGGGTACCTTCCTCCCTTGCTTCCCAGAGCTCCACTCTTTTATCACGGCACTTTCTTGCACTTCACAATAATAATCCTTAATATAATAATTTTATATACCATAACTTTTTTTAATTAATCACTTGTATTCGACTTATGAATTTGATTAATTCAGATCGAATTTTACAAAGATTCATTATGTGTAGGGAAGGGCATGAGTCGGGTTTCAGTCAACCCACCCGACCCAAAAAATTTATATCATTCATCCGACCCGACCCGAAAAATATATACCCTCCACCTGATCCGAACTCGACCCGATTTTTTGAGATAAAATCTGAACCCGACCCGAAATAATAAAAAAATTATTTAATAAAAACAATGATTTAATTGAAAAATAATATATAAAGGAGTATTATTATAATTATTCATAAATATATAAGGTAAAATTATATTTTTTCCGGATCGGGTCGGGTCGAGTATATTTCACCCTAAACCAGAATCCGACCCGACCTGAACCCAAATTAAAAAGAAAACCCGTCGGTTCAGGTCGAAACCCGTCGGATTCTGGTCCCATGTCATCCCTAATTATGTGGCCCATCCCTAATTATGTGACGACTCTCCCTACTCAGTTTGCTCCCAGACATCAATATTTGAACTCCTAATATTGCTTATAGAATATAGTGTCTTCGTCCCACTAGACCAACTATTTGTTGGTTATATATATCATAATCTTTTTTTAATAGTATATATAATTACAAGATGATATTTATTCATAAAATTTCTTAGTTATTGACAAACATACACCATACAAACGTAACTACTCGAACCTAAGATCTCAAATATTAACGTAAAATCAATATGGTATTTACTTGTTTTTCACATTGTTTATATGGCTTTGAAATGCATGACCAAACTGGACATAAGTTTTTAAAAGTTAAAAATGCTATTACGTTAGTAGTCACAAACTTCAATGTTTGGTCAATTTTAGTGCAAGGAGAATTGAGGTATATCATATTGTATGGAATTAAATAAAAGCATATAATATAATTAATTATATACATGATCACGAAAGTTAGGGGTTGTTTATTTGTCTTTTAATAGAATCATTTAACACTGAATGCTGAACCGTTCAGCATTCAGCGCGTTTGTTTCGCGCCTCTGAATGATCAATGCTGACTGATTCAGCAAAACAGCTAAATGATTCAACACAGAAGTACATTCTGAATCATTCAGAGCCAGTTATCAAACATCATGTCACATTCAGAGTCAAACTATTCAGAGTCTCTGAATCATTCAACATTTGAATCATTTAACATTTAATCATTCTGAAGTAAACAAACAACCCATTAACCAAGAGTTTTCTTAATCGTGTGTCCTTGTTCTACATTAGACTATATGTTTATTTATTTTTAATGATTTGACCATCGTGTATCACTTCATCAAATCTTATCCTTATCCAAATCTTGTCAAGTTCATCTTATTCTTTGTATTTTATTCATTTATTAGTCTGCTGATTTATTTTATACTTCAACTTTAAAGTAGGAAAAAGAGTGACGAAAATAAAAAAATAAACAAATTAGTGGGGCATAATAAAAATTCGTAGGTTAGATGCTATGTGTTGCAGGCATGGTTAAAATATGCAACATAAAATGTGTAACATATTAAAGGAAAAATAGCATGTTCTTACATTGATTTGGGAAAATTATTAATTTTAAATATAATATTTATCTAATATATAAAAAATTGCGATGAGCTAATTTTTAATAAATTTAAAATTAAAATCAAATATATATGCAACATAAATATTCAACATGTTAAATTTTTTAATAATATGAACTACTAATATGTATAATGTAAATGACTTCGTTATACTTACATCATGATAAAATTAATGATAATATAAATATATTTTAGTACATATAATTAATATGAGAACTTCTGCAGAATGTGAGATATACTGAGACACATGAACATAAAAAATTATTTTCTCTAAATTGTCTTTATGATAAATTATGTAAAATATGAGTCAATACAAAAAATTAACATGAACGTAATATATATTTATATATATCTACTTAAAATAAATTATTAATATTATAAATTATATATAAATCTACCATACTTTTAATGCATGAAAAGTAGCACTAGCACAAATAAAATTCGAAGAAAATAATGTATTTATATAAAAATATATCAAAGTAATGTTAAAATATATAATGAATTGAGATACAATACAATAAAAAATAATTAAAATATATAATAAAAATAATATGAAAATTATACCAATTAATATATTTAACTTATCGAGTTACACACGAACTAAATTATCTCAATGATAAAAGAGATAATTGTTATTTCTGGAATTCAAACAAATCGTATATAAAAAATGTTTGAGCGTCCATTGTCGAGATTAAATCTTTTAAACGTCACCTTTAATAAAAGAAATTGTCAAATTATATATATGGGTCAAACGCGCCCACCGTCTCTAAAATACAATATTTTGTTAACCCACACGCTAGGAGAAACAAGTAGAAAAAAAATCTTTGGAGGTGCCCCCACTTGACCATGTACAAAATCTAGACTCAAACCACATAGCCATTGGTTTGTTCTTTCATGTAAATAGAAATATGAAATTCAACTACCCAACATATAACTGAATATATTATTAATACAATAAATTAGAGAAACTAAACTTATAATCTATATTATGGTAAACTGGTATTCCTATATTAACAACCAAGACTTATCATCTCGTTTGGGCCATTAATGTTTGATTGCTTTGAAAATCAGTCTTTTATGTACCCATTGACTAACCAAATTCCAAAAGGAAAATTAACAAGAAACATCCTCAGTTTCTTCATATTAAAAAACTTTGGCTTTAGGTTGCCCAACAAGCAACCCTACAATTCTTGGTCGCAGAGTGGAGCACAAAATCATCTTTTGTAGAGCACCATTGAAGCATGCAAACCATGCCAAAAGTATTGGACTAATCTGCTCTCTAATCTTGACTAGACTTGTTTAGGCAAGATTGAAATTTGTAATCGGAAACGGTATAACAAGAAGTTTCACAGAATTGGGTTTCCAAATGGCAAACCTTTTCTTTTATTTGTCAAAATAAATATGCTATAGAAAAGGCAAAGACAAATC